TATCGAATGAACCGCCTACTATGGAATCTGCCAAGGTTTCAAACACAGCGGTCCCAGTTGAGGGTGGTTCACCAGCATCCTCTACGGCTGCCTCTGATTCCACCTCCGCCTTCCACTCTAGTTATGAGGCCCACGAGTCAACAGCGAACGTTGCGTGCGTGTGTACTGCGGCGTCAGAAGTACCTCCTGTTGTCAAGGCGTCATCCGTGGAGAGCTCTGGAACCAGTCATAGTAGTTCTGGAAGAGAGCATTTAGAGGTGGCTCCTATTTCTTCCGCGGAAAGCGTCGCCGATCAGAAGAAGCTTGATCAACGGCGTGCCTTCCTGCAAAATATGAACCAACTGAAGCGGGTCAGTTCTGCACCTTTATATGTTAACTTGCTGATGATTTAGTCGATATTGTGCTGACATCTGTCGTTACTATAGTTGTTACCCATGTCACATAGTCGTTGCACATTAAATTAGTGGGCTTTGTGTGACTGTATGGTAGAGCTAGTCATGGAATACATCGTAACCTTCGTTTACTGAACAAAGCCTCCACTACAGTTTGAAATCCTACCTCTTTTATTTCGAGAAGGTTCGCAATTAATTATATGCTTCGCCCACGTAATACAGGTAGCCCAATTCCAGGGAGGGTAAATTTTCGAGTGTCTTAACACTAATCCATACTTTCATCGTGACCCTAATCCCAATTTCCTGGGGAAAGACCAATGTGTGCTGCTGATTAGCAACAAATGCGAGATCACCGTTCAAGTCTGTTTTCTTTGCAGTAGCTCACTTCCTTTTGGTTGTTGCATAACCCTGCGTTCATTAAACTAAAATAACTTGAATCTGGTCTATGAGAAATCGATGCAGACTTCGATAGCTCAACTACAACGAACAACTTTCCTAGTTTAACCTGCGTCAATCAACGATATAACAGAGCTATCCTTCAGAGCCCTTGGTCACCGACCGCAAGGTCTGCAGTCCAAGTTGGAAGTTAAACGCCTAATGTCTTCACGACAATTGTCTGCATTAAAATCTCCGTCTTAAAGGCTGATGCACCCATTTCTCGAGCACTCTTAGTAGAGCAATAGGTTCAACTCAAACTTAGGCATGGGGTATTCTTAAGCGCTTTTTGAATACGGCCTTAGGCAGGATTAAAACAAACACCCCATACGTACGTGTTTAAAGGACCGCTTTACTTTTCTTGGGCTCACAGGCCTTTATATGTGTGAGTGGGCATTTTTTTTACGTACTTGACGTATTTTTTATGCCTCTTTTTGTTTGTAGACCGGTTGGTACTGGGGTCCACTAACCATTGATGAAGCTGAACGGTTGTTGATGAACCGACAGGATGGCAGTTTTCTCGTTCGCGACAGTGGGCACGAGCTCTATATTCTAAGCCTGAGTTTTCGTGCTCAGAATCGCATATACCACACGCGGATTGAACATTCTGGGGGTGAGCAATTAACAGATTTATTTGTTGCCATTGCTAACTATTTTTGTAAAGTGTTAACCTCTTTTTTGGCCCGTGCGTTTTGAAAATTCCTTACTCAAATAAAGCAGGAAAATTCATGGACAACGTTCTACCTCTAGCCGGTTCCTCCGATCAAATACCACCAGCAATTAAGGCTAGTATTGCGACCGTTAGACTGCCATCTGCATAGCACATGACGATAGTGCAATCTGTCCTTGAAATTAAAAGCTGGAAGGAGGCGCAGTTTTTTTTCGGAACAAACAACAATCCAAAGTAGCGACTGTAATTGCGAAATATTAAAAAAAGAATACGTCGGCGACTGACCGAATTGCCTTTTAGCTACTGCGTCAGGCAGTCAGCAAATTGAAGGCCAATAAAACAGAAGCTCGACATGCGTCATCGCAAAAAATGAATCTGTGTAGGCACAGACTTGCCTAAGGCGACTGTATCCGATGCAACCACCCCCCCCTTGCCTCGTGCCGACTGATTAAACTTCCCTAGCTGTAGGATTCTTCTACAATCGTGATTGGCAGTCGTTCGGTGCAAAGGGGCTGCCCGAACTTTGTTGAGCTCCATCCCTACTAGTCTGGCTTGCGTGGGGGTGGACAAAGCGATTGAGAATTTTCATTAATCATTTGCAGTTCCACCTGGAGAAAAAGCGCCCATTTATACCCAACTAAGTCGGATTTTGCTGAGTCATAGAGATCAGGCCCGTCCATACCAGTCGCAAAAGTTGACGGCCGACGCGAACTGCGCCCATTATCTTGGACTCCTCAGGGATTCTGTGAAAGTGAACAGTGAGCTGCCATGGAATGAAAAAATGCATACCTTAAAAGTCAACTTGGCAAACCTATGGCCGCTTAAACACAGAACACGGGACTAAGACCGCCCGTGCACTTAAAATTAATGGCTTTGCGATAAATTTCAGGAAGGTTATATACCCCTCTGTCTTAACCCTAACGTAAAACTAAAGTCTTACCTTAACTGTAACCCTAGCCCCGCTCTTAACTTAACCTAAACTTATCACGAATGCAAACCTTAGCCCTTCACATATGTAGTCCTGACCCCCTAACCCTCACTTTAATCGTAGAACTCATTTCCCCGGGATTTGGCGCAAAGCCGCATACATTGTAGGTGGTTTATCTTCCCGTACCCTGTTTAGATGGCCACACAAATCATCCTCATCATCTTTTCTATAATCCATTATCAGGCCACCAAAATTACACGTAGAATGAACATGCGATTTCTAGACAGGGTTTACAAGTGTCTCGGAGGTTATTCACATTCGGTCCCATGCTACTTAAATGTGATCAGTTCGGTTTACTGTGGTCATTGGGGTTGGGGGAGTGAAATAGAGTGTGTGAAAGATGTTCTTGTGTTAAATATGCGGAGTTTGCATGGTTGTTATTCAGCGTTTGGGGCGACGTGTGATTTCAAAATGGAGTCGCAGTTGGCTTCCGCAGAAAATGGAGGGCATACATCTACGTCTTCTGACAAGAAAACGCAGGGTGTTCGCTGACCGAATAGCCACGGCCTTGGCTGCTGCTAGCGCCCGTTAGCATTTTGATCAGTGTACTTGCACCCGGTAGACACCTTGAAAGGCTTTTTGGCATTAACTCCGCGATTCGTGTCAAGTAGATGTACGATAATGTAACGTGAAATCGATATTTTTTCACCTCTACCTAGCCAGACAGGTATGTGCTCGTATACTCTCTTTCTCAGGCGTTACGTTGTGCGGCCACAGTAGCAAATTAATGTGTAAACGCACATCAGCGTGGCTTGCACCGGTGGAGAGAGTTGGTGAAGAATGCGCGTAAGATCGCCGCGTTTGTGGTAGCTGTTTTAGGATGTTGTATCCTTCCTACTTCATCCGCCGAACTGGTGAATCGCCTTTGACGGAACAAGAAAGCAATCCTCAAAACGGAACCCTTTCGGGTTTGGCGTACTTAATATTTCTGTGCCTGACATGCATCTTCGATGCAGTCCCTTGCGGAGGAAAAAGAACAGGTTTCTCCAGTCTTTTGGCTGATGATACAACAATCTGGATTCAAACCTAGTTTCAAATTACGGCCTAGTAGAGATTACTTTACGCAGCAGTGACGAATCTGGTGTCGAGCAGAGGCTGAATGTTTTTAGGATAGGCTATGAAGCTCGCTTCTTCTTCCTATTTGTAATCCTGCGATACTCAGTGACGGGTCCACGTTACCCTTCACTCCGACGCGCTAGGCTTAGGAGTTTTTTTAACCTCCGGCCTACCTGCTGGCTGTTAAAGGAAGCCGGGCCCGTAGAGCCACTATCTGCGGAGTCTGGATTACATATTGGAGTTACGGGCGCTCAGCTGCTTATAATTTCCACAGTCGTGAAAGCTTTGGATCTCCGGGACACGGGTGAGGAGTCTTGAGGCACTCTATTATACAGGGACTGTGATCAGCAAGTTGTTCGGCACAATCTCCAAAGCCCTTTTTGCCCACTACTTTAGCACTCCCACCCTTTCGAACGACAAACGCTGAGCCAACAAAATCGAATTCAAAGTGCTGGGAATGTGCCCATTC